CCCGCAGCAGGTGCTGTTCCCGCTCCCGACGCCCCTGCCGGTGTTCGCGCTGCTGACCGGGCCGGGCTCTGAGCTACCTGCCGTGTGCATCGGCGTGAGCCCCGGGCGGCCGGCGAAGTCGGTGCTCTTCCACACCGTGCGCTTCGGCGCGCTGTCTTGCTGGCTGGGCGAGATGAGCACGGGTGAGTGGGGCGGGTCTCGCTGGGGGTGGGGCTGCTGGGAGTGGCCCGAATTGACTGTTTAAGAGGGGTGGGCCCTTAGTGTCTGGGCGGTGCTCACGTGGGGCGTATTTGGGAACCGGGTGGAGGGTGAGTACTGGAACAAGCCAGTATTTATAACTCCTGCTGTTGAAGACCCAGCGGGGTCACTGTGATGCCCGAGAGTTTAACCCGCTTGCTGGGGTTCAGAGAGGTTGTCCAACAGAGGAAGGTACTATAGGGTGAAATGGCTCTTGAATCCCCGCCTCTCAAATAGAGCACAAAGGACCAGTACAGGTGACCCAGGTAGAAGACGACAAGGTGATGGTGTTGATGGACGGTAAGGGCCCTCCTCGCCTCCCTGCTGGGCCTGCATCTTCAACCCCAGACCCTGTGCCAGAAACAGAATGTCCCTCTGGGCCCTACCCCTTCCTGCTTGCTTCTCACACTGGGTCCATTGCCCAGGTCCTAGGTAGGCTTCTAAACCCAGCTCACTGGAATTACATCTTTTCTCTGCTTCTTTTAGGGTCTCTGAAGCTGGTAACTCCTGAGGGGGCTCCAGTCCGGGGTCTTCGAACGCCAGAGATCCCCATGACTGAAGCGGTGGAGGCTGTGGGTAGGTGCAGGACAGGAGGGCCCTGGGGTCCTGAGGGAGGCCCCACGATACCCAAGTCACAGGCACTGCTCTCCCCGCAGCTATGGTTGGGGGTCGGCTCCAGGCCTTCTGGAAGCATGGAGTGCAGGTGTGGGCTGTAGGCTCAGACCAGGTAAGCACCCCCATCTCAATACCTGCCCTCGGGCCCCTCCCATCACCTTCATCAGACAGACTGGCAGAGCTGAGTCGGGTGTGAGTCCTGGAGTGTCTTCCAGTCTTAGACAGGGTCTACTCAGGGTCTCTTGGGTGGTGCTTAGCTTGGGGCATAACTGGAAAAGGAGTTGTGGGTGGGGGTTGCTGGAGGGAGGTAGGCTGTGTCACTGATGAGTCTGATCATGGCTGAGGCCTCTAGAGTGGGCGGGAGTTTAGCCTACTTGCTTGGGTGCCCAGCAAAGGGTCCAGAGCTCGTCCAGCCACTGAGTGGTTTTGTGCAAGGGACTTTTCTACTCTCCTCAACTTAGTCTCCTAGTTACAAAATGGGGATCATATAGAGACATGTGGTGGTTAACAGCAAGGGCCAGACTGGGTTGAAATCTAGCTGAGTGACCTTAGGCAAATGACTCACCCTTCAGTGCCTCACTTTTCCATCCAGAAAGTGGGGTTTTGCTCATAGAATACTATGTGCCACACTCTGACGCTCTGTCTTTAGAGGTTTTCTTGTATTTAATCTTCATGCTTACCTATCAGATAAGCACTGTGATTTCATAGGTCAGTAATCCAAGGCACAGAGAGGTCAAGTAACTTTCCTAAGATTACACAGCTGGTGAGCGATATTGGGCAAGAATGATTATTTCTGGACCTGAGACTAGCAGTTGGGGCCTTCCTCCCCTGCTCTCTCTAAGGGAGTGGGGAGGAGTCTTCCAGACACTGACATGAGCACCTTCTTCCCCAGCTGCTGCAGGAGCTGAGAGACCCCACCCTCACCTTCCGTCTGCTGGGCTCTCCCAGGTATGGTCTCCTGGGAGGGGACAGGGCTGGAAGGGGCTTTCCTGATGTGGAGAGGCCATCCTGTGGTGTCCCCAACCACCTGTTTCCTGCAGCCTCACCTGGTTTCCTTGCTTCCATCTTTTACCCATAATTCGTTCTCCACGGGCAGCCAAGGGGAATATTTTCATTTTGATATAATTTTAGACTCACAAGAAGCCGCAAAAGTCTCCTTTACTCAAATTCTTCAGATGTTAACTTTAAAAACAAACAAACAAACACAAATTTGCTGTATCCTTCCCTTTCTGGCTGTTTGGGAGAAAGCTGCAGCTAAGACTCCCATTTCCCCTTAAATACTTGGCTGTATGTGTCCTAAACCAAAAACAAGGGAATGTCCTTACAAACCACAATGTGGCTGTTAGAATCCAGACACCGATGCCTCGGTCACCTCACCCACACACTGTCGAGTCTCGCCAGGGTCACAGAGATACTCTCAGCCGCCAAAAGCGAACACTCTCCCCCTGGCCCAGGGTCCGATTCAGGATCACGGGTTTCATTTAGGAGTCCTGTTTCTTTCGCTTTGAACCTGGAACAAGTCTTCAGACCATTTCTCATGACCCTGACACTTTTCATGAGCACAGGAAAGTGGGTTTTACACAGTGTCCCTCAGCTGGGTTTGAGGTTTCCAGGTTAAGCAGCTGCTCGGTAATATCACAGACAAGGCGGCGCGTTCTCAGAGCGCCAGGAGGGATCTGGCAGTTCATCCCACTCTGTCAGTTCTGGGTTAGCTACTTCACCCATTCCTTTTAGCAACTTTGACGACTTTTGCCTGGATGTTACTAGGGTGGTTCCTGGGGTGACTTTTTCACACTCGCCACATTTACTAGTGGCTGCTCTACTACAGGAAACTTTTCCTTCAGCATGGCCTCATGGACTTCCATTTCATTCTCTGAATTACAGCCTGCTACTACCATTATTTATTTTGAAGCACAAATAGTCCCCAATTTAGCCGGGGAGAGCCCCTTCAAAGATCCCCTGCAGATTTGTGACATGCAGACAGGTCTTTTAAAATCCAGATTTGACTGTGTCACTGTTGAAAAACCTCCCTGTCGGCAGCTCTTTCTGCCCACTGTGTCTACACAAGCATCTTCTCCCTTTTTTCTAATAAACAAAGCCACTGTATATATCTGGATCTAGAAAACGTCCTGTGGCCTCAAGATGAAGACCTAATCCTTTTGCAGCCAAGCCCCAGCTCCTCACCCACTTCAAGGCCTTTGTACAGGCTGATCCTTGCCCTTTAGCCAAGCTCCTTCCTGAGACTCCTGCGGTTCCACCATCTGTCCTTTGGGGGCACCTTGGCTGGCCCCTTGGGGAAATCAGATAATTCACTGATTCATGTTCTTCCGCCACTCTGGACTGATCGCCCCGCGGGCAGGGCCCTGCTCCTTCACTGCCGCTGCCAGCGCTGCACTGGCACAGCCCCTAGCTTCGAAGGAATGAATGAACAAATGAAGGAACCACTGACCTCTTCCTGACTTCCTTCCCCAGGCCTGTGGTGGTGGAGACACGCCCAGCAGATGATCCCACTGCCCCCAGCAATCTCTACATCCAGGAATGAGGCCCTAGGGAGGGTCCCTAGGACCTAGTCCCTGCACCCCCACCCCCAATAGACACACTAGTGGTCAGGATGTGATTTTTGTCACTCAATAAACGGAACTAACGTCTCTGCTGTTGTCTTCTTTTTTTGAGGGGTGGGAGGCGGAATTCCGGGATGCCCACCCACCCTGAAATGTCACCAATCCGACACAATGACAGGAGGGATGTAGGAGACTTTATTTCTCCAGAACATGGGGTACGGGCTACAGGGCTTGCTCTGAGAATAAGGCACTTGGGTGGGGACGGAGGGCCAGCTGGGGGCGCTCAGCTAAGCTGGTCCTCATACTGCTTGCGGAAGCAATCTCCAGCTGGGAAGAAATCCCAGCATCTCTCTTGGTACATCTTCCAAACGTAAGACTCCTAGGGTGGGGGTGGGGGAGAGGTGGTTGATTGTCTCTTCCCGGGCTCGATAATGATATGAGCGTCTTACTGCCCCCTACTGATGGCCCTTGTATTAAAACTCAGGCCCACTGCCCTCCCTTTAACACCCCTTACCTGACCGGTGTGTTCTGTCTCGTCCTTGTTTATCAGATACATCAGGAAAAACCTGGGGGTGGAAGGCAGGTCAGGACCACCCTCACCACCTGGCTGGCTGACTCGGAGACCACCCACATGGGCACCACACCCACGGCCAGCCCCAAGGGTCAGTGCCCACCACCGCTCTGGCACTCAGTGGCCACGCCCCCACCCGGGTTGGCCAGGGGGTCCAGGCTCACATGTAATTGGCCAGGTTGTGCTCCTCCAGTGTGTGGGTCTCGAAGCCGTGAGGAGTCGTGTCAAAGTAGTCACTGCCAATGCCGCAGATGAAGCACTTGGTCTGTGAGAGGCGGGAAGACACGAGTCAAGGCCCCGCGACTGTCCCTGAGTTTGAGAACTCCCGGCGGCCCCAGGTGGGCCTACCTCCATGTCTTCCTTCACTTGCTCCTGCTGGTCTCGCAGCTCACCAAAGGCGTCAATGATGAGACCTGGGAGTGGCAGGACGCAGGTCAGCGCACAGCCTTTGACCCACGGAGACTCCTCCATCTCCCGGCTACGTACCTCTGGGCCCTGCCTTCCACCCCACATCTCCCCAGCCGTGTTCTGCCTCCTCAAAATGACGCCTAGTGCACTTACTATGAGTCAGACACTTAACACTTAGGAATTGACTTAATTTGACAACAACCTTCTGAGTTTAACGCCATCAACACCCCCATTTTGTGGACGGGTAATCAGAGGCCTAGAGAGGTGACTTGCCTGGGTCTCATAGTAAGGACACACAGAGCCAGTTTAGATTCCAGACTGGATCGGGGGTCTGCACTCTTAGCTCTGAGCACTGGGTCCCCACCCCCCAACCCCCACCGCTACTGACCCTGGATGATGGCTAGCAGGATGACAATGACGAAGAAGAAGAAGGTGATGTCGAAGACTACCCGGTAGAGCTCATATTCATCGCCTGCTGGATCCTCGATCTCGTCCCCAATGCCCCCGCCAGCTCGGACACCCACGTACATGTGAAACAGGTAACACTGAGGGTGCAGGGAGAGAAGCATCTCGGTCACTATTCAGTCATCTGGCATTTACCACCTACCCGGTGGCTGGGCCCGGAGCCGGGGGCGGGGGCCACCGCAGTGACGGCGACAGCTGTGGGCTCTGCCCTGACAAGGCTCACCAAGGCGGCATCAGACAGCGACAGCCTGGATTTGGTCAGGGCTGCGATGGGAAGAGCGCAGGCCCGTGGTCAGGTGGGGCAGAGCGGGAGGGGAGGCACAGTGTGAGGAAGGGTGAGGTGGGGAAGCACAGAAAGCTTTGAAGCTCTGAAAGCCTGACCCAGCTGGGGTGATCAGCCCAGGCTTCCTAGGCAAGGGGACTTTGTGTGAGCTGGAGCTTGAAGGTGTTTAGGGGGGAGAGAAAACCACATGAGCTACACCACCATTGGGGAGGACAGAGCACATTTTGCTCTGTGAGGAACTGAAAGAGATTCACTGAGACTGGAGCAGAGAGCTCCTGTGAGGCAAGGCAGGGAGAGAGATGAGGCAGGCCCAGTCACAGAGCTCTGCCGGCCCTGGACTGGTTAGTGGTCAGGGAGAGCTTCCTGTAGGAGGCAGCATTTAAGTTGAAAGGTGACTAAAGGGGTGTAAGTGTCTGTAGGATCTGACATGGGGGGCAGAGAGAGTGTCAAGAGCAAAGGGCGTGAGTCCGGAGGAAACCATGACCTTAGGGGAACTGAAAGAGGCATAGGCAGCCAGAGCAAAAAGCAAGAAGGACTGTGGGTAGACTCAGGCAAGACTTGCTCGTTCTTGGCTTCACAAGCCACGGTGAAGGGATTCAATTTTATCCACTTGGAGCGGGGGAGCCGAAGGTTCCATGTGGTAGAGGGAGTTGGGGGGCAAGGTCTGCCTTGCACAGGGGAAAGACTTCTCTCTCTGTGTCCCCCGGAAGTGAGAGAAGCCTGGTATCTTGGGTATAAGCAAGAGGCCAGTGACTGCGGTGAGAATGTCTGGGTGCAAGACCAGGTCTGGTGGGTGCTCAGGTGTCAGAGTGAGGACCTGGACTGTGTCCCCAGAGCAGGGCGTCAAACCACAGGACACCCTGACAGAGGCCTGCCACGACGCTTCAGTGGTGCGCCATGCCCCTCGCGGGTGAAGCTCAGTTTGGGCCACGGCCCCTGCTTTAGAAGGGAAGAGAAGACACAGGCCTGCCTGGCACGCAAGCTGGTCAGGTGACACTTTCAACTACAGATGACGGCAGTGCGGCCATCTGTGTCATCCTCAATGGCAGCCAGGCTCTATGCTGAGGCATCTAGTCTGAGAGGGTCGGGGACACCCTTTTGCCGACCCTTGGACACGGGCACTGTTGCAGCACACCCACTTTACAGGTGAGGACAGCGGAGCGGGGGAGGGGTGGTTTCCCCAGGTCACCGAAGAGTGGTCAAGCTGTCACAGCGTAAATACTAGTACAGCACTAGCTGACCTTTGCCTGGGTGATGTGTCTGGCACTGCATCTTATGTGCTATCAGCACACGGAACCCTCAAAAGCCCACCAGGTAGGTATTATTAGCCCACTACACAGACTGAAAACCTACGGTCGGGGGAAGGTGGGCTGCTTGCCTGGGCACGTCGGGGGCGGGGCTCACCGTCATCATGTCGTCACACTTCATGTCAGGCTCGTCCTCATCCTCACTCTTGTTGTAGAACTTCCGGAAGAAGTTGAAGGCCACCACGGTATACAGGTAGACCACCACGGCCAGGAGGCCCACCGTCATCACCAGCTGCAGGAGGGCAGGGGCAGGCCAGGTCCAGAATCAGCTTGTGCCTCCCCCTGCCCGGGCCTCCCCAGTCCTGACTGGATCAGCCCTGTGACCCTCGCCCTCTTCTCAGGCCTCCCCACTCCGGCAGCCAGGCCCATTCCAAGTCAAGCTCCTCCCGCCGGCCCGGCCCTGCAGGCCCCTCCACACCTGTTTCCCGTTGTGAGTGACGGAAGAGAGGATGGTACGCAGAGTCTTGACTCCCATGGCGATGTCCAGGAGGTGGGCCGCAAAGAAGAAGTTGTTGTAGTGCCCCAGGAGGGACATCACCATGTACCAGCTCAGGTACAGGAAGGACTGTGGACACACAGGGCGGGTGTCAGGGAGCACACGGGCCTGCTGGCCCAGGGGACATTCGAGAAGGTTTGGAGTGTTCTGGGGGCAGGGTGCCTCTCTGGCTAAGGAGTATGCAGAGTAGAGGCCATCCTGAGAGGAATCGGGGGTACTCTGCACAACGTTAGGGAGTTCAAGCGCACAATGGGAACACCAAAGACTGTTCTGGGGAACAAGGAGCCTTGGTGGGGTGAGAGAGTACCCCAGGATCTGAGGTTCACAGAGGCTCAGGGATCAGCCCCTGTCCAGGAATACCTTGGGTGGAGCCCTCCTGAAGCCCTTCTGCAAGCCCCTCCCCACCTCTGGGCCCCTCCTCACATTGTCTGTGAAGATGACCCCAAACTTCCAGATCTGGTACTTGATATCGATGGACATGATCCTGTGTGGGGTGGGGGAAGCAAGGAGGTCAGATGCCTGAGGGTCAGACCTGGTCACCTCGCTGCTTGCCCCTGCCGCCCTGCTCACCAGGTGAGCAGCCCTGGGGGCGGCTCAGGCTTGCGCTCGTTGTGGGCTGTGATCTCCAGGGAGGCCAAATCCATGCCCAGCAGCTCGGCAATCCGCTCCCGCCCATAGATGTCCCCATGCTTGTCCAGAACCTGCACAGGGGAGCAGGGGTGAGGGTGGAGGGTGGGTGGGTGTGCTGATACAGCTGTAGTGGGGAGGGTGGGGGCCCACATGGGGTGTTCTGGGGATCCTTGGACTCTGAACAATGAAAAGTGCAGTTTTCTGTGAAGAAGAGCGAGAGCTTTCTTCAGTTCCTGGCATAAGAGGGATTTTCAAACTGAGAAAATTTCAGCTGATTCATTGGCCAAATCGAGAGAATTTGTTGCATTAGGCAAGAGGCAAGGAATCCTGTGTACCTGGGCCCTCCGTCACGTATGAACTTACTTCCTCCCAGGTACCCCTCTCTCACACTGCTCCAGCCACAGATCTGCAAACACTGCAGGCACATTCCTGCCCCAGGGCCTTTGCACTGGCGGCTGCCCCTGCCTAAGCCCCTCTTCCCCCAGATTTCCACCGGCTCGCTCTCTCACCTCCTCATCAATCCGCTTGCCTCCTCAGCACCCTACACGAAGGAGCAATGGCTCCTCCTCCAGTACACACGCCACCCTCTCCACTGCTTCCTCACCTCCCCAGCACTTCACCTCCTGAGCGTTATAAATGTGGTCTTCATCTCTCTTCAGCTCAAATGTCAGAATCATCGTTTGGTTGACTGCTGCATTTCAGGCCCTAACATGACCCCTCACACACAGTAGGTGCCCAGTGTTTGTTGAATGAATGGTAGCAACAGTGAGGACTTATCTTGTGTTCTTTTGCTTTGAATGTGAAGGAAACTGAGGCACAGAAAGGCTGCCACAGGAGTGGGGAAGCAGGCAACCCAAACACACACTCTGAAATCTGTGTGCATCAAACAGCAGGCCTCACTTCCTTATCATTAATATCTGAGCAGTTCCTCTGTCAGCTCTAGGCTATGTTTGTATCATCTCGTAGAAAGAGGGAAGTATGTTTACCACGCGTGTTTCCAGCTGCAAAACTGAGGTGCCCCTCTGTGGGCAGCGCCCCTCATGCAGCACAAGTTTGCACCAAAGCTCGACAGGGGTGATCTGGTGGCAGCCAGTGACCCAGCCCGGGGGGTCCCTCCAACCCTCTCCCTGCTCGCTCACCTTCCTCTTGACAAACTTGTCCCAGTAGTTGCTGGGGAAAGACCTGCGGAGAAAGAGCCCAAGATGTCAGGCCAGGGGAGACTGGGAGCCACCAGACAGGCCAGCGGTGGGGGGGAGGGGTTGAAGTTCCAAGGCTTTTCTTACAGGGGACTCTGCGTTTCACTTGGGGTCAGGATCTAAAGGCCTCATGCTGGACGGAGCTGTCCCAGGTCAACTGCTCTCCCCACGGCTCTTTGGGGGCCCAGGTGAGGCAGGGGGCTTGCACTCAGGGCTGGGAGTGCAAAAAAGACTAGGAACTTGGGCCCTCCCTGGGGGCGCCACAGGTTAAGGCACAGCACTTGAAGCTGTCCCCAGCCACTCCCCGGCCAGGGAGCTGACCCACAGGGCGCAACAGGCCTCTCCTGTCTCCCGCTGCTCCCCGCAGCAGTGTACTTCAGTAGATCCACCTGTTCTGCTCCCCACTTGGTCTTTGGAGGATCCTCTCTCCCTGCCCCCCCCCCCGCAACTCTGGCCTGTACCCCAGTTCTTGTATGTATAAATAAATCTTGATTTTTTTTTAAAAAAAGAAACAATGTAGCAATGCCTTAAAAAAAAAAAGACTAGAGACTGAGCTGGGGTGGGGGAGCCCTTGCATGGGGGCGGGCAGGAGGGGCCTGAGTCAGCAGCTGATCTGGCTCCAGCGGCAGAGGATGCTTTCTGGAGCACTTTCACTTCATTTTATATGATGACTTGCCACTTTATTTACCAGCTTTCCAATCGACAAGGTGATGCCCTGGCACCCCGCAAAGATGGCCGATGAGTCTGGGGGTTTCCTTGGGGAGGAGGACTGGAGCCTTATACGAATCCACTCAGACCTGCTTGACGTTTCGGTCCACTCAGACCTGCTTGACGTTTGGTCCAAGGCGTTTCCTCTTCTCATCGATGCGCATACTGCCCCGGCTTAGCCAGCAGGAGCCCTCCCAGCCCGCAGCTGGCATCGCCAGCTTTCACAAAGCACGTCCTTGCCTTCCAGCGCAAGACCCCGGGGATCGGCCCACGCTGGCTCACCCAGGCCCCGAGCCTGCAGCTTCCAGCAGCCTGGCTGCTTCTCACGGGAAGTGTATTCAGAAGTCACGATCTGGGCAGACACTGTTTGAAACAGGTGTTTCTTCTCAAGCACCTGTCCTTGAACGTGTGGATGCTGAGTCTAAGATGGCGCGTGTTCCTGTGGCTTCTCCGCGGCCCCCTCACATCGCCTCCACAGGGCAGGACCCCATAATGAAGTAACCCCGACTGTATCTACGACTCCCTTGCTCCAGAAACTACATGGATTCACTGAAGGTTGCAAGATCCTTCCGAGGTCATTGCGATTGTTCATCCTCATTTCACAAATGAGGAAACAGGGCAGCTGGGCGACTTGCCCAAGATCTCCCGGCTAGCATGTGGCCAGCCCGGGGTTCCACCCTGACCCCGTGTTCTGATTCTCACCATGCAGCCCTACTGGGCGGACTCTGAACTAGGACTTGGTGTGGAGGGAGGTGGAGGGCTGGGAGTGCACTAGTGGGTGTGGAGTTCTGCCACGTGGCCCTCATAGACTCTCATTCCCTTCTGGGCTCAGTCCCGATATCCAATGGCTCCCTGCTTCCCATGTGCAGGGCCTGGCTGAGGTGGTCTCCGGGGCGGGGTTTCAGCCTGGCTCCGCCTCAGACTCCCTGAACCAGTGCCTCAAGGCTGGGGCTGAGGACACCCCATGTGTCCCCATTACCCCTACCTAAACGTCCAGGAAACGTGTCTACGTCACACAGAGGAGGAAGACTTGGGGAGAATGACCAGCGCGGGTGATCGGAGCCCAGGTCTCCGAGCCCAGCCTGAACTGGAGTGGAAGCCCGCCAGGCTCCCCGCCAGGCTCCCCGCCCACGGCAGGGCCCTTACGGTGTGTTCAGCACCAGCCGGTCCCACTGCCCCTTCACATCGTCGTCCTCAGGCTGCTCCGTGATGTAGAGGCCGTCGAATTCCAGCTTCCGGGCCAGCTCCTTCTCGCGCTTGAAGATCACCAGGGGCACCTAGGTAGGGAGAAGGAAAAGGAGTATGTCGGGCCCCAGAGCTGGGCCCAGCCTCAGGAGGCGCCTGTGGGAGAGCCTAGAGGAACCTGCCCAGAGTGAGTGGGACTGGAATAGGGCCGCGGGGCGAGAAGGCAGCGCCAGGATCGGGAATGACCAGCGCGCTGCCTGGTGCAGCTGGGGGCCTCTTCCAGGGCGGGAGAATGAATAAAGCAGGCAGGCGAGGCAGGTGAACGGAGGTGGAAGTGGGCAAAAGCATTCTGGGACGGGGGACCAGCAGTCGCAAGCAGTCAAGGGACCTCTGTTCACTCAACAGTGAAGTCTCAAGGCTGCCCAAACGGCGCTCCTGGGCACCAGGCAGACCTCTCCTAATACACCTTAGGGGCATCACAACTTTACACACAGGCGATGTCAGAGCGCACATCCCCCTCCATGAGACCCCAGACCTGGGAAACAGTGTTCCCAGTGTTCGCTGAGAGGTGACCAGTCAGGAACCTGGCTTCTCAGCAGGGCCTCAGCTCCCAATGTCATATCCTGCTGAGGCCCCCCGCCCCGTGCCCCCACCCCTGCCTGTGTGGGGTCCCCCAGCCCGTCCAGGCCCAAGGCCAGGGCCCACCTTGAGGCAGTTGTAGCCGATGATACAGAGGAAGGCCACCAGCGTGTGCAGCAGGCTCAGGCAGCGCAGGGCGGGCTCCATGTAGCCCGTGCTCTCCTCCAGAAAGTAGTATACCATGTTCTCATCCTCGTCGCCCTCCGCTTCCTCACCGGCTCCTGAGCCCCAGCCAGAGCCGCCGCCGGATCCTGCGCCCGACAGGTCCCCAGCCGCTGAGCCCTCCAGGTCGTCCTCCCCCGGAGGAGAGTCTGAGACCTGCAGGGGGGTAGCGGTCAGTCCAGGCGGTCCAGACCCCGGCGTGGTCTCCCAGGCACCCAAGACCCATTCCTGAGGTGGCACTGGGCCCCTGCCAGGCTCAGTATCGGAGGTTGTCAATCCAGACCAAGGGGAGGGCCCAGGACCCAAGCTAGCCAATCAGACTCTGTCCTGGGAATCTGACTGGTGGACTGAGTGACAGCTGACGATATTGAGAGCTGAATATCCCCATAGTAAAGTCTGATCATTAATATTAGCACACACAACACAAATAGTAGCTAACAGTTAAAAGTGCAGTTCTATCGGTCAGGTACTGATCTGGAGTGCTTGACAGAGGCTCTAAGAGGCAGTTACTGTTACGAATGGCTTTCACAGATGAGGCAAGGCACAGAGAGGTTAAGCCCCTTGCCTGACGTCACACAACAGTGAGCGAGGGATCAGGGTCTGATCACACTGGAGCCATCCTCGGAGCACGCTGCTCGTCCGCCTCTCTACCCCCTTATCGAGATCCCTGGCAAGACCTCAAAGATTCCTTTGCCCGTGAGTGGTTTGGTTTCTCTGCCTCACAACTTTGTCTTCAGCTTAGTGAAAGGCAGGCAGCTCATCTGAGGTGGTGCTGCAGAGCAGGAGGCCTGCACCCGGGGCACAGGTTTGGTGAGTGAGAGAGCTGAGTATGAAACCCAGCTGCACCCCCTTCTTTTTTTTTATTTTAAAGCTTTATTTATTTATGCATACAGAGTTGGGGTACAGGCCAGAGGTGTGGGGGCGGTGAAAGGATTCCCCAGAGACAGAGTGGGGAGCAGAACAGGCAGGTCGACAAAGAACACTGCTGAGGGGAGCAGCGGGCGGGTCAGGAGAGGCCTGCCGCGCCATGTGGTCACCACCGGGGCGGGGATCGAACTCCTGCTGAAGTGGCTTTAGCTTCTAAGTGCTGTGCTTTAACCCACTGCACCACCAGGGAGGGTCCTGCACCCCCCTTCTCAGTCCCACAGACTCTCAGGCATTTGTCCCAGGTGGACCCAGATGCCCACACTCACCCCCCAGCAGGACCCAAGATGTGGGTGTCCAGCCCAAACCCTCTTGGAAAAGGTGTCCAGCACCTTCTCCCTTCACTGCAGGGATCCTGGGAAACTGTCAGGGACTAAGCCCCTACTCCCTGCCCCCACAAGGCCCAGATCTTCCTGCCCCTCATGACCAGCACCTTATAAAACAGCAAGATGAAGTTGATGGCAAAAGCCAAGAAGAGGGCAAGGAACCGCAGGGTGTAAAAGTTCCGGGAGAGGTAGTTCTGAGATGAGAGAAAAGAGAAAAGTCATGTCCACGTCTTCCCGGAGCACTCATCTGGTCATGCCCACGCCCCAGCCCTGGTCCTCAAAGCCTGGTCCCGCCACCTATTTACTGAGTGTGTTCTGTATTCCGAGACCTGGGCTGAGAGCTTAAAGTGCAGAGGTGTTTACCTCCGACCCTGTGATGTGAGTAGGCTGGTGTGCCCACTTTACAGATAAGGAAACCGGGCTCAGGGAGAAACTGTGCCCTGCTGAAGGTCACATGGCAAGGAAGTGGCAGATCGGGTATCTGAAATCAGACAGCCCCAGGGTCCATCAGTCCTCTGCCCTGCTGCTTCCTGTGGGAGGCCCCTCCAGCCCCGAGGACAGCTGCTTCCATCTCCCTTCCTCTTTTTGTTTTCCCACCTTTCTCTACATTCCTCATTCTTCCCTGTTCAACCTACAATCGACCCAAGCCCTTTCTGGCCTGCAGGCTTCCTCAGCCCAAGTCAGACTGAGTCTGATGAGCAGAGAGGCCGAGCAGGGCTGGGGCCATGCTCTCCCCAAAGCCCTGCCCCCCTCGTTTTCCGGGTCTGGCTGAGAAGCTGAGTCCTCACTGGGAGCTGCCCCTCCAGGGCTCAGGCCTGGGGGGTGGGGGCTTACACCTGAAGGCTGAGAGCTGAGACACCTGCCGTGGGGGCAGAGATGAGCCTCGGATGGAGTCAGCTCTGGAGTGAGGATGGGGTGGGTGCCGAGGCAGGCGGCTCAGGGCGTGTGGGGCGCACAAAGTTGTGGAGGTTGGATTAAGAATCACAGCAGGGAGAGGCTGAGGGGCCAGTGGGGGACACCTGAAAATGCTGCCCCGTGCCCAGGTCCTGGCTCTGTCCCTGGACCTCTCTGCTCTTCCTCCAGCCTGGCTTCCCCTTAGAGACGAGCCCCGGGTGGGGACCTTGGTGTGGGCAAGCTCAGGGGTCTCCCAGGGCGAGCGGGTTCCAACCCTGCAGAATCCTCACCAAGAACTTTACTCTCTGCACTTCCAGTTCTCCCCAGAATTCCTGGCCCATGCCCCCAGATTCCTCCTTCTTTGGAGGGGGTGCAGCAGGTTCTGTCTTCTTAGGGGGCTCTGGTGGGGCCTCAGGAACTTCTTCCTTCTCCCCATTCTCAGCACTGTAGGGCAGGACAGAGTGAGGAGATGCCTAGGCAATGTGTTTGTTCATTCATTCGTTTGTTCATTCACTCACTCAAAGGCACGCCCTGGGGCCCACTCGTGCCTGGTCCAGGGGTAGCCTGTGTGGAGTGGGGACAGGCAGCCTCAGGCCCTGCCCTTGTGGAGCCCCAGGACAATGGGGCCCCCAGGCAGTGGAATCTGGCAGTCCAGTGTAATAAAGATTTGATTGGGGGGGTACGGGGGGGGGGTGTTTAATGTTAGCTTCCTGGAAAAGGAGACCTATGAGCCCAAGTGGAAAGGATGAGGAGACTGAGAGGAAGTAGAAGGCGCTCCAGGCACAGAGCAGCTCAGACAGGCTTCAGGGGAGAAGAGGGGCACCCCCTTCTCTATTCCCTTTCACAGGGCTCTTCCCTGAGCCAGCTGACGCCAGGACATGGGGCAACCAGGACAGCCTGGAAATCAGGGGGCTCCCAGGCCAGGAGCAACTGGGCCCTCTGGAGCCCAGGGCCACTTACTCGGCTTTCTCAGGCTCCGGCTCGGGCTCCGGCTCCGGCTCGGGCTCAGGCAGTGGCTCTTCCTCCTGTCCTTCCACCTGGCGAGGACAAGCATCAGGGTGCAGACGCCCCCTCCCCCTCCTGCTCAGACCAACCCACTGCAGGCTCCTGTCCTGGGGCTCCCCCCACCACCTGTCTGCAGCACTCTCAGCACCGAGGGCCTGAGGATGCTCTAGGGTCCCCCGCTGTGGCTACTTACTTCCCCACAAACCTTCATCGCCGGCGGGTCTTTCCCGGTGCCACCAGTCCTATTTTGAGCCTTTTGAGCTCTGGGTCCTTTTCCCCTCTAATTCGGCCTCTGGTCAATTACTCTGTCCCTGGCATCTTTTCCTCTGTCTCCCACTACTTTCTCCTTCCATGTCTGAGGCCGCTGATGTCTGTCTCTAGCCCTCCCTCTTTCTGGGTGTCTGCCCTGTACCTCTGCGACCCTTAGCTCGCATTCCCCATTCTCTCCCCACCCCCACCTCCTCCCTGCCATTCTGCCGCTCCCCTACCCAGCCCCCACAGGCCCTGCAACCTTCCCTGCACGCTCACCCCCAGCTTCCTCTTGATGATGGGGGAGCCCTCGGGTGTGGGCGGCTCCACCGGCGTCGTGTCACCCATGTCCCCGAGGCCACCGGCCCCTTCGGGCCGGAAGGGGCCCCCATCGACGGCCGCAGCGGCCCCGTCGGCGCCTCCAGGCCCGGCTTCGTGGGCCGCTGCCTCCTCATCGCCCGTGCCCTCCGCGGCCTCGCTCGCGCCCTCGCCGGCGCCCTCGCCATCCGCGTCGCCGCTGAGCCCGGCCGGCTGCTCGCCGTGGACCTCGTCCCCCGTGGGGTCGGGCATGCCCGCCAGGAGCTCGGTCACCGT